GGGGTTGTGGCTCAGCCATACAGCGCTTGCCTCATATGTGTGAGGCACTGGGTTTGATCTTCAGGAGCACCAATGAATAAATAAATAAATAAAATAAAGATATTGTGTCCACTTATAACTAAAAAATAAATATTTAAAAAATTTTGAAAAAAAAATAAACAAAATAAAGGTATTAAAAAATCCCATGTATACTTAAAACAAAACACTGGATGTAGCCAGTGGTTGAGTACCCCTGAGTTCAATCCCTGGTAACCTCCCCCCCCAAAAAAGTTCCATAAATCCTTTCTTGAGGCATCCCCCTCCCCATTATCCCTTTAACTTTTGTCTGTTTATCCTCAAGTTTTGCATACTCTGATGTTTTTCTACAGGCTATCTGCTACAAATTATTTATTCTGTCTTGGCAGTAACTTAAAGAAAACTCTTAAGAGTACTTAGAAGTAAACCTGTGACTTTGACATACATTTCACTTCCCATTGCTAGCTACTACCAACCCAATACCTGACAGATTACTGAGAAATATGTATAGAATAGGGGTAGAGTGATAATATAGACCGAAAATTACATAGAGCTTTATTGTAACAGTGGTCCTGTTGCTGAAAGCTTGGTCCTTGTCCCTGATACCAATCCAATGGGGACACAGTTGGGTTTTTTTGTTTGTTTTTGATAGTGCTGGGGATTGAACCTAGGGCCTTGTGTATGCTAGATAAGTGTTCTACCAGCTGATCTGTATCCCCGACCTCAAGGACACAGTTGAGAAAAAGAAAAAAAGAGGGTTTATTGCTTTGTTAGCAAAGGAGAAACACAGGGGACTCCTTTCCCAAAGGCTGTGATTCTGCCCATCCATAGGAACAGGGGGGTTTTTATAGAGATGAAAAAGAGAAAATAAGAATAGAGAGGAGAGACCAGAAAAAAAGAAGACCAAGGAGAAGTCTGGGAAAAGAAAAAAAAAATGAAAGTTTCAAAGCCCCAGGGATATAGTCAAAGCATCAAGTGAACCCCTGTTATAGTCCATTTTAGCCCTTGCTGCTCTGACACCGTGACTTATTTTTTAAAGGGCATGTTTCTTTCTCTTCTTCTCTTTCTCCTCCTCCCTAACTTCTTTCTCTCCATAATCTCAGGAGACACAGGATTGCCTTTCTCACTCATTTTAGGCAGAGTTATCAGTCCTTGAAGACACACCCACCATAGGAAAAAAGTAATTTAGATTTGGGGATGACACCAGAAGATCTCAGAAAAGACCAGCTCCCAAATTAAGAAGTGAATTACAACTCTGACAGAGAACATGTGGAATGCAGCCTTGGATTCACCTCTTTAAAAACCTCCTGTTCCCTCTGATAGACAGAATCACAGCCTCTGGGACAGGAGTCCCCTGTGTTTCTCCTGTGCTAGCAAAGCAATAAAAGTTTTTCCTTTTTCTCAAAAATGTGTCCTCATTACTGGATTGGCATTGGATGCAAGGAGAAGCTTTCAATAACATTACCTTATGGTACTGTTACTGTTTGGAGAGGTTAGGCTACACCTCTCATTATTTTACAAATATTCAGTCAAGTTGGCAGGAAAATAGGTTTTATTCAAAGCCAATTTAAGGAAAATTTTTGTTTCAAAATTTCCATCTTAGTTGATTGTGGTGGCACATGCCTGTAATCCCAGTTATTTAGGAGGCTGAGGCAGGAGGATCACAAGTTCAAGGCCAGCCTCAGCAATTTAGCAAGGCCCTAAGAACTTATCAAGTTCCAAAAAAAAAAAGAGGTCTTGGGGATATGGCTCAATGGTAAAGCACCCCTGGGTTCAAAAACAAACAAAACACATGAATCAATTTCCACCTTTGGAGGCTCTGTGGAAAGAAAAATTTAATAGAGATGGCAATTTGAGAAAAAAATGCAGTAAATACACATGCAGATTTAGTTAACCTGTGCAGGACTGGTGGGGCAGGGGGTAATCTCTACTTAGCCTCTTAGATATTCCTCACCTTCTAGCCTTTTAGCCTTTACTTTCAGCATGAGGAAGTTGTCCTCAATTTCAAAAATACCCCCTCCCCCCCCAAAAAAAAATCATTCAACTTTTCAATTTCAAAAATACCAAAAAATCTACAATGCCCAAAAGAGACTCTAGATATTAACTCAATAGAAAAAATTTTTTTTTGGGGGGGGGGGTGTTTAGCCACTGAGCTACATCTCCAGTCCTTTTAATTTCTTGAGACAGGGTGTTGCTAAATTGCTGAGGCTGGCTTTGAATTTGTAATCCTTCTGCTCCCCAAATACTGGGATTACAGACATAGGCCACTGAGTCTGGCTAAATAAAGAGATTTTTATTTTATTTTTAGAGACAGGTGCTTTGCTATGTTGCCCAAACTGGTCCCAAATTCCTGGACTCAAGGGCTCCACCCACGTCAGCCTCCCTGAGTGATGAGACTACAGGTGTACCCCACCACACACAGCTAGGGATACATTTAAAAAAAAAATTTTTAGTTGTTAATAGATCTTTATTTTATTCATTTATTTATATGCGGTGCTGAGAATCTGGAACCCAGCGCCTCACACATGCCACATGCTCTACCACTGAGCCACAGCCCCAGGGATACATTTTTATGGGTCAATCTGGAGCTTTAAATATGATAAACAGCGTCCTTTCCCACACACATTGCTTAAGTAACCGAGGTGAATGCCTTCTAAGCTTCTCACAGTTTTAACTCCATAGCTTGACAAACAGCTTGTCTCTGGGGCTCCAGTGTTTTACAGCCTCTCCTTTGCCTCCACTGTAAAGATGGGATGGCACTACTTTTCCCAAGAGGTTGGAGACCAAAGCCAGTGGCAATCTCACTTGGAGGTACCTTCCTCTCTCCAGGGAAGAAATCCACTAAACCTATACTTGGCCTCAGGTGGCCACACAATTTGTGTGCAAAAATAACCTGGTTCAAGTCCCTGTTACACAAGAAAAAACTGAGACATGGATGTTGATAATTTAGATTTCTTACGAAAAAAAAAAAAAAAAAATCAAGCAGTGGTGGCCACGGTGGTGCAAACCTGTAATTCTAGGGACTGGGAAGACTGAAACAGGAGTTTCAAAAGTTCAATACCAGCCTGAGCAATTCAGGGAGATCCTGTCTCAAAATCAAATTTAAAAAAGAATGGAGGCTGGACATGGTGGTGCATAGCTGTAATCACAGAGGCTTGAGAGGCTGAGGCAGGAGGAGTGCAAGTTCAAGACCAGCTAGAGATATGGCTCAGTAATAAAGCTCTCTGTGGTCAATCCCTATTACTGTTAGGGAAGAGAGAGATGAGAATGGAGGGAACATGAAGTTAAGAGAATAATCCTATAAAATAGGTCCACAGTGCTGACCTGTACATGCTTTCTTTTCCAAGAAGCTATACCTGCAGCCCTGACTGGCCTAAATGGACAGGACATGTCACATTCCTCAGCAAACTACCTGTTAACTGCAGGAGAAATGCAGGCCCAAAATAATGTTGATAAATTACTCTTAAGGGGAAGATTTTTGTGAGCAGATCCTAAAAGTCTGGGAGATGACAGTTCCTCCTAACCATAAAATCTGTAACACTATATGGTTAATAATCCAATTATGAACTGATCAGCATGGGCTAAGGTGATCTAGAGTTGCCATGGCAGTGGGTACTTGGAAGTCTGATGTCATCTTGCTGTCAGTCAAAAGTAAAGAGGGTGGACCTGAGCAGGATTCTTTGGGAACTTCTCTGGGATTCCCAATAACACTAGAGTAAAAGAGAGGCACATTGTTTCTCTCCTCTCGGAGACGACCCACTCTCTCTTTTGAGAGGGCCTCCTTTCTCCTGTCCCTTCAATAAATTCATTCCTGTTACTCTGCGTGGCATGTCTGAAATCTGACTTCATCACCCAAATCTAGGTTTGAAAGGTGTATTTTAACACTACCTCAGTGTTTCAGAAGGCCCCAGCTCTTTAACAGTACCAGGGAGAAAAAAAATTTTTTTTTAAACTATGAATTAGAAGAAAAGAGTTGGGGCTGGGGTTGTGGCTCAGCTGTTGAGCGCTCGCCTACCACATGTGAGGCACTGGGTTCGATCCTCAGCACCAGGTGAAAAGTAAATAAAGATTTAAAAAAAGAAAAAATGAAAGTTGGCCACCTTGCATAAGCACAGGCCATATCATTAGGAAATCACTTGTAATGAAGTCTTTTGAGGAAAAGGAAAAAGAGGAAGAGAAGAAGGAAAGACAACAGAAGACGCTCATGCTAGGGCTCTTTTTGAAAATTTCCATTCATCTTTAAATTAGAAAAGTGTTTGACAAATTGTCTAAACAGTCAAAAGAGCAGTGGAAGAACTTTCCACAAGCACATTGTTGGGTTAGAATTTCATAAACTTTAAATGTTACTTGTTTGCTAAAAATATCCTAGAAGCAGCCAAGGTTGCCCTTTTTTAAGAATTCCATTCTGAGGATTCACTCTAAGGATTAATTACCTTCCTGGTCTGGAGCTAGAACCCAGGGCCTCGCTCCTGCGTGCTCTACTACTTAAGAGTTCATTTGCGTTTTTCAAAACCCCAAAGGCCACCTGGGCTCCTTCCGCCATTTGCCACCGACCTCGCTGGGCCCCTAAAACGGGAAAACACGTGCTCCCCACCGACTGACACCGAGGCAAAGAGGGAAGCGACAGGCGAATCCCGCAGACCTATACGGCAACCCCCACGTGCTCACAGCGCGGCTCCGGGCGCCCCCGCTATATATGCTCCTCCTCTTTTGTCTCTCCTTAGGCCCGGATCAGGCTAAGATCCCCTCCCCCAGGCAGGTGCCCCCCCCCTCCCTCCAGCCGCCCCCTCCTTCCAGGGCCCTTGAACCTGGCGGAGGTCCCTACCCACTGGCAGCCCCTCTCACGTCTCTCCCTGATTGGTCATACCGCTGGCCCGCGGCGGTGGGAGGAGGCGCAGGCAGGCAACTGAAAGCGACACCCGTTCTTTGACCTGAGGTGTTGCTCGTCCCTGGCCTCCATCACGTGTTGCAGAGACGCGGGGCGGGGCGGCCGAGGTGGGGCATATATATAGCGGGGGCGCCCTGGAGCCGCGCTGTGTGAGCGTGTCGGGGTTGCTCTACGGCCTGCGAGACTCCTGAGATTCGTCCGCCTCTTCCCCTCTTCGCTGCGGTCTGTCGGTGGGTGCGCACCCCCCAGCCACCGTGCACCAGCGAGCTGCCCCGGGCCACCCCGCAATGCCGAGATGGGAGGGATCCTCGGGTTTTGAGGGCTGCTGCTGTGCTCCCAGCGGGGTTCTAAACTGGACCGCCGAGGACGGTGGTCCCGGGGCCTGGCTGGGAGCGGGTGGGCTCCGGGACGCCTGCTTTCCGTCGTCCGTGCTCCATCGGCGCTTTTGTTGATGGAGGCTTTTCTCCTAATAGCTTCTGTGCTGTTATCAAGTATCTCTTGGTGTGCAAGGAAGGTTGTGGGGAAGGAGTTAGGAAATTGTTGTAAGGCAAGAGTTTTGGGGGGGTATACAGTAACAATAAGGCTATCAATACTTCTCCAGGTTTCTGTTTTTTTCTCTCTCGACCTGTCTCGGTACCAAGGATTGAATCCAGGGGCGCTTTACCAGTGAGCCCTATTTTGTATTTTATCTAGAGACAGGGTCTTGCTAAATTGCTGAAGCTGTCTTGAACTCAGATCCTCCTGCTTTCAGCCTTCCTAGACGCTGGGATTACCAGTGTGTGCCACCGCGGCTGGCTCTTACTCATTTCTTGTAGAACGTCACAGTTGTAGGGTCTTGTAGGGTCACACCTTGGTGGTGGGAGACTTGGGCTGACAAGCCCAGAAGTGGTGGGCAGCCGGCTTGGCCGGTTCTTTGCTTCCAGGTCAGCTGATTGTCAGGGCGGCAGTTTTGTGTGGGTATGGGTCCTTGGGGCTACAAAAATATACACGTAACACATCCTGAAATGTTTTTCAATTCCTGTGAGCACCTCCTTCCTCTTAAGCTTGGTTGCTCATAAAGTAGTTTCAGTCCTTTTAGAAGGGAGTTAAAAATAAGCCCCCATAAAAGTGCTCCAACTTTATTGTCCTGATCCTTTGATTTCTCAAAGGAGTGTTGACTAAAATATCTTCTATTGAAACTTTTCTTTAGTCTCAACATGGATTTTAATCTGGTTAGCAATTTGTGAGCAAAAAAAAAGCATTTGTGAAGCTGGGCATAGTGGGTCTCACCTATAATCCCAGCGACTCAGGAAGCTGAGGCAGGAGGATAGCAAGTTTGAAGCCAGCTTCAGCAACTTAGGAACACCATGTCTTCAAAAAGGGTTTGTGGTTTACCTTAGTGGTAGAGTTTAGCCTAACGTGGAATCCCTTAAATCCCCAGTTAAGGATGGGCATTTCTAGCTTCCTGGTGGTGAAGCAAGACAACTATGTCAACAACTTTGACTTTCCCTGCTGTGCCTCTTTTCTAAGTTTAAACTTAAGCTCCCAAAACTACCTTAAGGGGTGTTTGCCCAGGAGAGGACTCAGAGGATGGGAAGAAGCATGGGAGACCACACTTAGCACCTCTTGAATTTTTTTCACTTGAAAGGAGCAAGCGTTTTCTTGGATTGGGGAACTAATCTGGGAGTCATCCCAGTGTCCTGAAATCCAGTTTCTCTTCCACAGGTTTGTTTTTTTCCTCCTCAAGGAAGAAAATGGCATCTGTTGCAGTTGATCCTCAACCGGTATGAATTTTAAATAGCCGTTTTCTTGACTCCTTCCTCTCCTGACGTGTTTCTATAACTTAACATCTACTCCTCTTTGGTTACAGAGTGTGGTGACTAGGGTGGCCAACCTGCCCTTGGTGAGCTCCACGTATGACCTGGTGTCCTCGGCTTATGTCAGTACAAAGGATCAGTATCCCTACTTGAAGTCTGTGTGTGAGATGGCAGAGAAGGGTGTGAAGACCATGACCTCTGTAGCGGTGACAAGTGCTCTTCCTATCATCCAGAAGCTAGAGCCACAAAGTGAGTGGACATAGTGGCGGACATAGTGGCGCATACCTATAATCCCAACTACTCTGGAGGCTGAGTCAGGATCCTAAGTTTGAGGCCAGTGTGGACAATTTAGTAGATGCTGTCTTCAAAATGAAAATAGAGAAAAGGCTCAGTGGTAAAGTCCCCCAGGATTTAATCATCAGAACTGGAAAAATAGAATCATAAAATGTTGGTTATCTAGCATGTTTTTTTTTCCTTTAGTACTGGGGTGCTTTACCAGTGAACCACATTCCCATTCCTTTTTATTATTTTTCTTTCTTTATTTTTTGAGACAGTGCCTCACTAAATTGCTTAGGGCTTTGCTAGATTGCTGTGAGACTGGGCTTGAACTTGTGATTTTCCTCATCCTCCTGAGATGTTGGAATTTCAGGTGTGTGCCACCATGCCTGGCTCACTTAGCATGTTTTCATAGTTGATCCATTTTATTGTATCATATCAGCCCTTCGTCCCTTTTTATTGTGGAAAAATACCTCATTGTGTACTTAGACATGTTTTTGTTTATTCATCAGTTGATGGACACTTGGGTTGCTTCTACATTTTGTAGATGATATTTCTGTGAATATCTATGTACAAGTTTTTGTATGGACGTAATTTAATTTTCTAGGGTACATACTTAGGAATGGAATTCATGAATCACATAATAATTGTGTTTAAGCTTTTGAGGAACAACCAGACTGTTTTCCAAAGTGGCTGCAACACTTTACATTCCCACAACAAAGTGGGAAGTTTTCTATTTTCTCCACAGTATGCATGAATTTCTTTTAATAAAAATCTTAAATCATTCCCGAAATGGGGGTTAAGTCATGAATTTGCAGGATTGTAAGGAACCTTTAAATGCCAATTTCCAAATGAATTTGGTATGAGTACTTGGCTTGGTCAACCTTAGGGGAAGCTTTGGACTGAAATCTGTACCTTATTAGGGAACTCCAGAGTGCTGTTAGCGTACTGTTTCCTGGTGAGAACCCAAAATGTACTGCCATCTACTAAATTAGGTACATGAATTAAGTAGGGATTAAACTAAAATGGAAATGCTAATTTTGAGAGAGTTTCTGGACACTTTATTCTTTGAATAAGGGTTCAGGGAAAGCCTTGCTACTCTTGGCACTAACATTAGGGGTCAGCTGTTGAGGAAGAAGTTTCTTAGCCAACTTCCTACTGACATGATGTTGCCTCTGTGTACACCTCCTTTACACCCTCTTATTTACCTCTTGGTGGAAAAAAGTTTCCAGCAACCTACCAAGCTTCTTTCTGTCTGATCTAGAGAAGCCAGATAATGCATATTGTGGTGAAACATTAAACATTTTGGTTGTTTTGTTATAAAAAGGTTAAAGACCTGAGGTACAGTAGTGTGGGCTCATTCTATAACACGTTACATTGGCATTATTTAGTTTCACTATATAATCTCAGCAACATTTGTGATTCTTCCAGTTGCAGTTGCTAATACCTATGCCTGCAAGGGGCTGGACAGGATTGAGGAGAAATTGCCTATTCTGAATCAGCCAACATCACAGGTGAGCTTGGGACAAAAGTAATGAGGTCTGCTACTGCACATGTTTTCACATTCTACTGTTTAGCACAGACTGTGCATGCCATAAACAAGAAAACACTTGTTTGTTCCCTTACCCTGGAACTGGATGTATTTTTGAAAGACGTTGGCCACTAACTTTCTTTCTGAACTTTTGTTAGGTTGTGTTCAAGAAGCAGAGAACTAGCCAGCTTTGGGTAGAGTACTTTTAGCTTATCAATTTGTGACTTTGCCCTTGTAGATGAAATGGGTCTCAAATAAGTGATTCCAGTGTGGTGCTGGATACATTCAGAAGTGGTATATGGAAGATTTTCTTACTTGGTGCATTGCTGATAGGGACTACCATGCATAAGGACAGCAAGCCCATGTTGACAGAAATGATAGGCTTATCCACCCCAGTGATACTTTGGTTCAGATAAGGTACTGAAAGTTTCTTTCAGATTAAAAATACATAAAATGATACCAATTAGTGAGAAATCTGTCTCTGTTTTTCATGATTAAATCACCCCTACTGTGCTAAGTATGGAGTGAACTTAAGGCTTTAACACATGGAAGACCAGTGCTGTACCACTGAGCTAAATCTCCAGCCTTTGTCTTTTGTCTTTCATAATTTAAGTAGATAAGTTTAGTGTATAGCCTTTAGAATTAATTACATGTACATCTACTTAACAATTTCACTAATGTTGCTTCATACTCATCTGTTGATGAATTATTTTCCATTTTGGATATTTAAATTTTGGTGATTTGTGTATAATACTAAAAATCAGTTTCCTTTATTTAATTTTTTAAATTAATTTATTTTTTAGTTCTCAGCAGACACACATCTTTGTTTGTATGTGGTACTGAGGTTCGAACCCGGGCCCCACGCATGCCAGGCAAGCGTGCTACCGCTTGAGCCACATCCCCAGCCAGTTTCCTTTATTTAAAAGGAATTAGATTGGGTTGTTGGAAGCCTAAAGCTCTAGTAAATCAAGACATTTCCAATGCCTTGGTGTATGTATATGTTTATGTATGTGTGTATGTGTATATATACCCACATACATACATATATATCTCAGTGGTAGAGCGCTTGCCTAGCATGCATGAGGCCCTGGGTTCAATCTGCAGCACTGGAGGAAAAACATTAAAAAATTAAAATAAAAAAGTTCTTCCCCTGAGATATTAATAAATAACAAGTAATTTAGGGTAGGTTTTCAAGTGTCTGTATACTCCCTCATCATCTCTCCTGTCTCTTTCCATGTCTTCTCCTTGAATTAGACAGCTCTGTATGCTAATACATTGAATGTCAAATTTAGTTTGATCTTTAGTTTCCTTGCTGGATTTATGTGACCTGAGCTATATAACCTTACTAACAGGTAACAAATTACCACCTTTATTCTTGATCCTTTTTCCCCCTTTAACCATATCCTCATGCAAATGTGACATTTGAAGCATGAACTAGATGTTTAGTGTGTTTGTTTTTATTTGGGGTGGTAGCTTGTTGGTGATTGAACCCAGGCCCTTGCACATGCAAAGCACATGCTCTACCATAGAACTACACCCCCAGCCCTGTGGATGTCTAGTTTTTTGTTTGCTTTTTGCCATGCTGTGGATTAAACCCAGGTTCTCAAACTTGGCTAGATAAGAGATCAGCCACTGAGCTAAACCCCCAGTCAAAGGCATCTAGTTTTTTTTTTTTTATGATAAGCTATTAGTAGATAAGTCTAAAGATTCTAAAAGATTTATAAATCTTTTGAAATTATTTGAATTTGATTTAACAACTACATACTTTTTTCTTTTGTGTGCTTTGATTAAAGGCCTATGTAACTGCCTTTTACTTAAGAGATATTTTGTGTATCTCAGTTTGCACTAAAATGAGCAAAGCAGTGGAATCAATGGGGCTAGTTATTTCTAGTATAATTATTAAAGCAGATAACTTCTGTTTATAGGACTAGGAGTTCGCATTTATCTTGGGTGGAGGTCCTTAATAATAAGCCCATGTAATTAAGTTCCAGGTGAACTTACTAGCAAAATCTGCCTTATTTAACTTTTTAATCTTTCTTATTTTGTGTGATACTGGGGATGGAGCACAGAGCCTATGCAGGCCAGGCAAGTGCTCTACCACTGAGCTATACCCCAGCCCTATTTTTTTTTTTTTTTTTTTAGTTTTTTATTCTTTAAGAGATGAAGTCAGGCTGTTTTTCCCAGGCTGGTCTCATACTCCTAAGCTCAAATGATCCTCCTGCCTTAGCCTGTGGCCTAAGTAGGACTATAGGTGTGTACTATTGCACCCAGCTGAATCCAATGTATCTTAAATTACCATATCTATTCTATCATGTATGTAATACAGATGCACCTTGACTTTTGACAGTTATGTCAATAAATTCATCAAGTTGAAAATATCTTAAAGTCAAATAGTTCATTTAAAGGCTGGGAATATAACTCAGGGGATAGAATGTTTGCCTTAGCATGCTGGAAGCCTGGTTTTGAGAAAAGAAAGTTTTGTTTCCTCACATTTAATCACATAACTATAATTATGGAGCTACAGATGTTCTTGTAATTCTGTTTTCAGGTGAAAGGGTTATGGTGTTGTGATCCCTGTCTCAATTCCCAGCCTTTACCACTTTCATGATATTTCTTATAATTTATTCTTCTCATATTAAAAGTGGCACTGAAGCTGGGTGTGGTGACACATGCTTATAATCTCAGTTACTCAGGAGGCTGAGGTAGAAAGATCTCAAGTTAGAGACTAGTGTCTGCAATTTAGTAAGACCCTGTCTCAAAAAATAAAAAGTAACTAGGGAATTAACTCACTGATAAAGCGCTTCTGGGTTCAATCCCCAGTTTAAAAAAAAAAAAAAGAGGGGGACGCTGGAATAAGCCAGGATCTAGGTTTTTAGTCCACCTTTCATGTACATCTTGGACAAATCGCCAGTTTATGAAATCACTTTGGAACTTTATGTTCTATGCCTGAGATGTGCCTGAAGGGAATCTTTCATGTCTTTTCCTTTCCCTCCCCTGACTCCAACTTAGAAAAGCTCCTTCTTTGTTTGTTTGTTTTTTTAATATCAGGAATTGAACCCAGGGGTACTTAACCTCTGAGCCACATCTCCAGCCCACTTTATGTTATTATTTAGAGACAGGGTCTCTCTGAGTTGCTTAGGGTCTTGCCAAGTTGCTGAGGCTGGCTTTGAACTCGCAATCCTCCTGCTTCAGCCTCCCAAACTGCTGGGGTTGGAGGTGTGCACCACCACACCCAGCTGCATCTTCTCCACAGTAACAAAATGAGATAGTGAGCTAGGCTTTCCCACGAGTTAGGGTCTCATGAGTGGAGCATGGGCAGGCTGGTGATTTAGAGGGTCCTGTATGAATGATAGCTATCTAAAGCACTCCTAGCAGGATGGAGAACTGTCTGTGGATTGACCTTCTGGGGCTGTGGGTACAAAGGGCAGCATGTGCATGGCGTACCTATGGCTATGTTTTTAGGCAAGCATGAGCTGTTCTCAGTATAAGCATGCCATTCTTCCCTAGAGTACTTTTTGTACCAAAGGTTTATTTAGTTAAAAACAAAAACAAAAAACTTCCACCAAAAACAACAACAGAAAACCCAGAAAAACAAAACAATATAAAACAGAAAAGTCCCACAACAACTTGCCTTGACAAATGAACAAACTTCATATTTGTTTCCCTCATTTGTACCTGTGAACAATCCTTGAGGAGTGGCTAGGTAGGACAAATAGACCTGACAAAGAAATTAAGGTTAATTGAATACTAGTGACTTAGCCAAGACCTAAAATTAGGCAGCAAAAGGACCAGAATCCTTTTTAACTCTTAAATGATGCTTCCTCTGTAAGACCTTACAGTGGGTTTGTGCCCATATTCCTTATTTGCCAGTTGATCTGCTTTTCCACATTCAGGTTGTTGCCAGTGCCAAAGGGGCTGTGACTGGGGCGAGAGATGCTGTGATGACTACTATGACTGGGGCCAAGGATTCTGTAGCCAGCACGATCACAGGGGTGATGGACAAGACCAAAGGAGCAGTGACTGGCGGGGTGGAGAAGACCAAGTCTGTGGTCAATGGCGGCATTAACACAATTTTGGAAAGTCGGATGGTGCAGTTTGTGAGCAGTGGAGTAGAAAATGCAATCAGCAAATCCGAGATGCTGGTAGATCAGTACCTTCCTCTCACTGAAGAAGAAATAGGTAATTGGGAATTTTGTCTTAAAATAATGTTTTATACCTTAAACTAGTCTTTTAAAAAGAACTATAAAGATTGTCTTTTAAAAAGATTACCTTTATTGAGGTAGAGTTTATATACCAAAAACATTTACCTGTTTTCAGTCTAAATTTAGAGTTGTATAGCCATTATCACTGTCCAGTTTAAGAACTTTTGTTTTGTTTGGTTCTAGGGATTGAATTCAGGGGGCTTTACTACACAGCTAAATCTCCAGTGCTTTTTATGTTTTTATTTTGAGACAGGATCTCATTCAATTGCTTAGAACAGACCTATGTCCCCAAAAGATACTTCACGCCTGTTTGTAGTCAGTCCTTTGTTCCTTCCCCACATAACCACTCATCTTTCTTTATAAATTTCCTACTTAAAGCAATCTGAAGTTTCATACTGAATTATACCTAAGGTTTTTTAAAAAAACTTTTTAATGATAACCACCCCCATCCCTCACCCCCCGCCCCAACATACTAAGTTTTAAAGCTTCAGGAGAAATTTGCCTTGAAAAAAATTTTCTATAAATGGGTTGTCCTTTTTTTTTTTTTTTTGGGGGGGGGGAGGATTTAAACCGGGGCAATTTACCATTGAGCTATATCTCTGGTCCTTTTTTTATTTTTTATTTTGAGACAGGGTCTCACTCATTTGCTTAGGTCCTTGCTAAGTTTCTGAGGCTGCCTTTGAACTTGGGATCCTCCTGTCTCCATCTCCTGTAATGTTGAGATTACTGGCATACATAATTGTGCCATGGGTTGTCTTTAGTGGGCTGCTTTACAGAATCATTATTAGAATGAATCATCGCTAACAAAGGCACATTAGTATCTATGGTGTGCCAGGTACTTCATTGCTCAAGTTATTTCTAGTGGGAGGAAGCATGGGTAGATATGTAACATGTATTAGATACAGTAATAGATTCAGGTGATCAAGCCCAGCTGAAGGCTTGAGCAGTCTTGGGAAAATGAGATTGTACTTGCTACGTGGGTGGGCAGAGAAGACCCAGGTTATAGTTTAGACATTGGTACTGATAATTGTCCCTTCTTTCCAACTTCAGAAAAAGAAGCAAAAAAAGTTGAAGGGTTTGATGAAGTTCAGAAACCAAGTTATTATGTGAGACTGGGGTCTCTGTCTACCAAGCTCCGCGCTCGGGCCTACCAGCAGGCACTCAACAGGGTTAAAGAAGCTAAGCAAATGAGCCAAGAGACTATTTCTCAGCTTCATTCTACTGTTCACCTGGTGAGTAAAGCTTCCTTTGTGATATCCAAAATAAGCTCATTCATCTCATGGAATAAGAGTAGGTATAGTCAAGAAATTCTAGAATTTTTTGTTGTTGTTGTTGTAGTCGGAAACAATACCTTTTATTTTATTTATTTTTATGTAGTGCTGAGGCTCGAACTAGCGCCTTGCACATGCTAGGTGAGAGCTCTACTGCTGAGCCACAACCTCAGCCCATGAAATCCTAGAATTTAATCTTACCTTATGAAAATCTAATAAAAATATGGGCAGCCGGCGCTGTGGTGCACGTCTGTAATCCCAGGGGTTCGGGAGGCTGAGGCAGGAGGATTGAGAATTCAAAGCCAGCCTCAGCAAAAGCAAGGCACTAAGCAACTAGGTGAGAACCTGTCTCTAAATAAAATACAAAATAGGGCTGGGGATGTGGCCTAGTGGTTGAGTGCCCCTGAGTTCAAGCCCCAGTGTCCTTCCCTGCCCCCGCAAAAAATGGGCAAAGGGATACAGACAATTCACAGAAAAGGAAGTATAAATAGCTGAAAATACGAATGGTAATTTTACTCAGATGTCAGGCACAGATACCTTTTTTGTTCCGTCACACTAGCAAAATTTGATGCTGTTGGTAGTGATGTAGAAAAAGAACAATACTGTGCACTTCTAGAAGATTCAAAATGGGACAGAGTCAAAGAATTGTTCTGGTAAAGTTATAACACACCTGTACCAGTATTAGGAGTTTCTCTTCTGATTATCCTACATATATTTGTTTAGAGTCATAAGACATTGTAACAGTACGCATCAACCATAGGGGACTAATTAAATTAGTACTCCACAATAGACTATTGTGTAGCTATTAAAGACTGCCAAATTATAGAACAGTATGTACTGTACAATGGTAGAAAAACCATTTCTTCTTGGAAGAGGAAATAGGTTGCTGGCAAAAGGGGAGAGGAAGGTTGGTTTCCCTTTTTATAGTTCTAATTATCCTTCATACATACAAACTGAATTTTAGTTGTCTTATGTGTGCTAAACTAGAGGTGCATTTGGAGTCAGTCGTTTAATAGTTAAAGAGGGGCAGGAAAGAGCTACTTGTGCTTGGTTGACTAACACATTGATAATAAATAACAGTGATATCAGGATAGAATCTTATGGTTCTTGGTTTTTATGTTATCTGATTCATATCATGGAGCTGCAAACAAGCTGACAAAAATGTTTGACCAGTATATTCCCTTTTCTTATTTTGTTGTGTTCCAGATTGAATTTGCCAGAAAGAATGTGCATAGTGCCAACCAGAAAATTCAGGGTGCTCAGGATAAACTCTATCTCTCATGGGTAGACTGGAAGAGGAGCATCGGCCATGATGATACAGATGAATCCCACTGTGCTGAGGTAAGTGGACTGGGATAGTTTTTACAACAGTTTGTGAAGTTCTTATTAGACTTTTCATTACAGTATTCCTTCAACTCTCTTAGAATACTATTACTTGTCAAAAGTTTGAACAATATTGTCTATATAGATTGTTATGTGGCAGAGAAACAAAACTGGGCAGAGAGTAACTTTATCTTACAACTTGCAGATTGACATGTTGCCCCCCAAATGGGAAACATGGGTACAGACTGATGGGGAATATAGACACGTAGTGTTTTTTGCCAGGATAAACCTAGGTGCTATGAGAGTATATAGGAAGGCTGTCTACTACAGCCCTGGAGTGGGGTGGTTGAGTCAAAGATGAATGCAAAGCTGAGAACTAAAGGGTAAATAAACTAGGTTAAAGGCCAGAAAGGGGACTAATGCTCCAGAAAGAAGAAACTAGTGTTGGAGTTCTAGAAAATGGTTCTTTGTGTCTCGAAAGCTAATGTGTGTTTGCCTTGAAATCAGTAGTGACTGTTTATGTCAACTTATTTGAGGAGGAGTTATTTAAATATACTACTAGCATGGATTGTGTTTTTATTCTGGTCTCCTCTGCCTGTTATATTTCTTCAGTTTAAGGTGAGGAATTTTGGAGACTCATGCACTAGTTCATATGCCCCACTCAGCTATTTTCCAACTGTTAATTAGGGCAAGTTACTTAAACCCTAAGCTTATGTTCATAGCTATTGTTACGAGGATTTTTAAAATATCAGAGTCTGCATTTATGGTGGACACATAACTAGTTTACTGTGATTAAACTAGTTCACACATAATACTGTTGAATCCACTGCTAATTCTTAACTTGGTCTTATTTTTAGCACATCGAGTCACATACTCTTGCTGTTGCCCGAAACCTGACTCAGCAGCTCCAGACCACATGCCACACCCTCCTGTCCAGCGTTCAAGGGTTACCACAGAACATCCAAGATCAGGCCAAGCACTTGGGGGTGATGGCAGGCGACATCTACTCAGTATTCCGCAATGCTGCCTCCTTTAAAGAAGTGTCTGATGGCTTCCTCACTTCTAGCAAGGGGCAGCTACAGAAAATGAAGGAATCTTTAGATGATGTGATGGATTATCTTGTTAACAACACCCCCCTCAACTGGCTGGTAGGTCCCTTTTATCCTCAGCTGACTGAGTCTCAGAATGCTCAGGACCATTCAAGACCAGCCAGAAGGTCCAGCAGTCTCAGCACAAAACTCATTAAACCTTTCTTGTCACCAGTGCATGTTGTAGCTATATAGATGACATCATTTGTCATGTTAAAATTAACCTGCTAGATAACTCTAAACTGGAAAAGCAGCCAATTAGGAAAAAGGCCTTCAGTTGTAGTCATTTACAGCTGGTAAGAGCCTTAAAGTTTCTGGCATTAGGAGACTTGAGTTACCTGGCTGGTAAGAAAAGAATGGTAGGCTTGACAGAGCTTCACTAGAACTCACAAAGTTTATGTGCACTTAGGGTCTCATTCTATGGCCATTATGTTGCTACTGTTAATGTCTGTCTGTATTGTATAAAAACACCCTCGTGTGGGCTCTGGTATAAACTAGTGTCTGCTCCAGTATAGTCTGAGCAGGCCTCATCATTGCTTTATCTCTTATGCTTGTTCAACTTAATTTTAGTTTCTTTTTTTTTTAATTAAAGGAATACCATCTTTAAATTCAATAAAATTCATAGTAGAATAGATCAGTTTTATGCTGTTTGTTCCATGTGCTTTGTGTGTTGCTTTCATAGAGTTGCCTGATTTGCGTGACAGGGTTAATAACTTACATACATGAATTCCAATTAGCCTTTTGGGGAATTTTGATAGAACTATAGCATTGGAAGATTAATGTTACAAATGGAATTCGATAACAGATTTCAAACAAATTAAAAGCTAATGTGAGGCCAATCACACAGAGGTACCCCTGTAGTCCTAGCTCCTAGGGAGGCTGAGGGGGGAGTATCACTTAACCCAGGTGTTTTGAGATCAGTCTGGGCAACATAGTGAAACTCCATTTCCAAGAAAGAAATAAAGTGAAAAGCTGATGTGCACATGAGAATTTTTACTAGGTGATAGTTGTTCAGTTCATTTTCTGATTAACTGGACTCCTAAGAGTGGATTTTTAAGCCAGTTGAAAGATCATATAGGGCATGTTGGTGCACATCTGTAATCCCAGCAGCTTGGGAAGCTGAGGCAGGAAGACGGCGAGTTCAAAACCAGCCTCAGCAATTTAGTGAGAAGCTAAGCAACTCAGCAAGATCCTGTCTCTAAATAAAATATAAAAAAGGTCTGGAGATGTGACTCAGAGGTTAAGCACTACTGGGTTCAGTTCCTGGTATCAAAAAATAAAGCCAGTCATGACTGATAGCCTTGCTGAAAAGGAATCAAAACTGCAAGGATATGACTGTATTTGCATCAGTTTCACAAAGACGGTAGGTTTTTCTTGCTGAGGAGCTAGAGTGTGAGCCATAAAGTGTGACAGTGCAGTGTCCACTCTCTGGATTTAACTTACTATGTTCTGACTTTGAGAGAATGTCACTAACCTCAATTGTTGGTGAGTTGCATATAGAAAATCATGTGAGAATAATTAGAAGTAAAAGACTTTGGGTTCCATGGAAAAAGGAATCTTTTTACCTCCTTTCTAGGGTTTTCTAGCCCTTTAGTGCTGGTTAGTAATTTAGGACTGATCATGAATCTCCTACCACAAAATAATCACAAAAACAAAATTATGGAACTTGTGAAATAAAATCACATATTTCTGTTCCTGCTAAAGGTGAGTGGAGCTGGCTTTCAGTAGAGCTGAGTTTAAGTCAAATTTGTCTCCTCTTTTTTTTTTTTTACTTTGTCAATGAGTCTATCAAAGCTTTTTATCAAGTTACAAATATTTTCTCCACGTAACTACAGGAATCAATGAACAGGTGAGTTGAGCTGTAGGGCAGGGACTCCTTCTGTTTTCCAGCTCTGTGGATTGAGGCCAGGGGTGGTATTCCACTGAGCTACCCTAACACATTTTTTATTTTGAATGCCCAGACGGGCCTCAAACTTTTCATCCTCCTGCTTCAGCCTAGGTGTGCACTACCATGTCCTTTTACGTTCAACTTTCAAAACACCAGCAGTCCCTGCTTTTGCCATGAGTTATCCGTAGGTGTGGCTCTGTCTTTTGTGTCCCAAGTTTGTGTAAACATGCATTTCATTCACTTGTCACTGTATGTTGCAAAATGTGTGGTGTCCTTGAGTCTTATAGCTTTATTGTTACATGAAGTAGCAGAAAATTTTAGTTTTAACAGACTTTTTTCCAAGGAGGCCAATTCATTTGAGAGGAAAAAACTGATAAAGGCTAATATAGTATCTAACCATAGTAAGTTAGCAAATCCTTAGCTGGGTAAAGTCTGTCATGGTGTGCCTGAAGGTTGATGGATGTTTTTTTCCTTTGCCTGCAATGTTGATGTGCACTCTAGTCCTGGGCAAAAACTCAAAGGAATATGGTGTACTCTGAGCCTTAGTTTTCTTATCTTCTACAGATCTTAGGTAACATGAATGATTCCTTCATGGTTGGAAGTGAAATATTGAGGATAGAGTGTTTTTTTTTTTTTTTTTTTACTATTTTTATTTTTTTAGTTGTTGACGGACCTTTATTTTATTCATTTATTTATATGTGGTGCTAAGAATCAAACCAGTGCTTCACACATGAGAGGCAAGTGCTCTACCACTGAGCCACAACCCCAGCCCAAGAATATTGTGCTTTTGGTTTTGTTTTTTGATCCTGGGGACTGTACCAAAAGTACAGGGGTCCTAAACCGCTAACCTCATCCCCAGCCCTTTTTATTTTTGAGACAGGATCTTGCTAAGTTGCTGAGGCTGGCTTTGAACTTGCTATCCTCATGCCTTAGCCTCTTGAGTCACTGGGATTATAGGTGTGCACAATTGGGCCTGGCTTCTTTTTGTTTTTAAGAGTCAAGGTCTTGCTATGTTGCCCAGGTTGGTCTCAAACTCTTGGGCTTAAGCAGTCTTCCAGTCTCTGCTTCTCAAGTATCTGGGACTACAGTATGTGCCCCTGCCCCCAGCTATAAGATATCTTTCTGATTTGCAGTACAGGTATGAGAACATCATTTTTAGAAGTAACATGTAGTGTCTTTAACTTACCAGTTAGGGTGTGAGTACATAATACCTAGGTCATGATTAAGAAAATACATCTTTGATAAAGCATTCAAAGTGTTAAAGAACTAATGAAGTGAGAAGAAAAAAAGCCAGGTGTGGTGGCACACCCCTGTTATCCCAGCAACTCTGGAGGTTGAGGCAGGAGGATCACAAGTTCGAGGCCAGTCTCAGCAACTTTGTGAGACCCTAAGTGATTTAGTGAGATCCTCCCTCAAAAATAAAAAAGGACTGAAGATATGGTTTGGTGGTAAAGCATTGTTGGTTCTTGTGGGTTTGGGATCAGGCTAGCTAGGTTTCTGATCTGATTGAGCTTCGGAAATGAGCCAGTATTGAGGCTTGTATGTGTGATGGTCCTGTGAGATATCCTTGCCCTGTAAGCCAAGTTATTTATTCTTTGTATCTTAAGGTGCAACACCTTTGTGTCCATCTGTCCAATAGGTATCCTGTACCATAGGTTATCCTATAATATTTTGTAATAACTGCTTGGAAAGAAATATGCTGAATAATTCCACCATTGAGTATCTAAATGACCAGGATAACCTGTAGCAGCCTATTCATCTAAAAGATGGTGAGACTGGCAAGCATTGGACTGTTCAGAGGAATGAGTAGGATAAGAAGTCTTTCTTCCTTCCTCTCTCCCTCCTTCCCTCCCTTTTTGTAAAAATGAACTCAGGGGCACTTAACCACTGATCCATATCCCTGCTCCTGAGTTGCTTAGGGCCTCACTAAGTTGCTGAGGTTGGCTATGAACTCGAAATGCTCCCATCTCAGCCTCCTGGAATTATGGGCATGTGCCACCATGCCTGGGAAGAAGTCTTTCTCCAGGGCTTGAGGTCTACTTAGACTGAAGACATGTTTTATGGCATCCTTCTTCCTCCCTTCGCTTACTTTTTTTTTTTTTTAATTTTTTTAGTTGTAGATGGAGACAATACCATTATTTAGTTTATGTGGTGCTGAGGATCGAGCCCAGTGCCTCTCGCGTGCTATGTGAGCACTCTACCACTGAGCCACCACCCCTGCCCCAAACAAATATCTCTTTTCGGAGAGGGGGGGAATACCAGGGATTGAACTCTGGGCACTTGACTACTGAGCTACAACCCCAGCCCTATTTTGTATTTATATTTGTAATTGTATAAGCAACTTACTGAGTTGCTTAGCCCCTCACTTTTGCTGAGCTGGCTTTGATCTCCTGATCGTTTTGTCTTAGCCTCCCAAGCAGCTGGGATTATAGGCAAGCACCACTGTGCCCAGCCCTTCACTTACTTTTGAGATTTGATGTCACTCCCTCACCTTATGTTTTTGAAGTTACTGACTGAATCCTCACTGGGGTGGACTCAAGTCATATTTTCAGTGAGTTGAGGCCTTTTAATTTACTGTCCACTTGGAGCTGAGTTGGGAGAAGTGGGGAAGAACTTAGGAGGAAAATGTTAAATTGGAACAATCACACCCTCAGTTGGTGGTGAGGTGGTGAGAGGCAGGCAGATTATGCCCTGTTGAATTTGTCAGATGAGATTGATGATTAACACAATGCATCTTTTGTTAAGATTGGCAGTGAGATGACAATGTGAAGTGACCTGAAGGCAGAGTGAAAGGAAAGTGGTTGGGAGCAGGGCAGACAGAATTGCCTGAATTCTTCTTATATACTTAGTTTGCTTAAAATTTTTTTCATTGTCTACACAGCTAGATCACAGGAACACTCAACCAACTAAGGAGATAGCTAATATATCTATCTGTAAGTCTAACAGCCTTGTGTAAAATGGGTTAAATTAGAGCTCAGCATGTATAAAACTCCATCATCTTTCAGCAACCTCCCACTGCCTTCCTTGTGTATGCCAGGAATTATCAACTGGGGAGACTGATAAAATGCAGATCCTGGGTCTCACCCCCAGAGAATTCTGGTTGGTAGATATGGAGGTAGAACCAAGCTTCTGCACTTTAAAAAACAAATGTTTTAAACCAAAAAAACATTTATTTACTTTTTTAGTTCTAGTTGGACACAATACCTTTATTTTGTTATATGTGGTGCTGAGGAACAAACCCAGGGCCTCACATGTGCTAGGTGAGTGCTCTACCACTAAGCCACAATCCCAGTCCTGCTTCTGCACTTTTAAAGAGCACCCTGAGCCAGGTGTGGTGGCATGCACCAATAATTCCAGCAACTCTGGAGGCTGAGGCAGGAGAATTGAGAGTTTGAGGCCAACCTCAGCAATTAATTAAAAAGGGCTGAGGTGTAACTCAGTGGCAGAGTACTTGATTTGCATGTGTGAGGTCCGGGGTTCCATGCCCAGCACTGCCAAACCAAAAATAAAGAAACCCTGCTCAAATGAATCAAATACACAGAGATTAACATTGAACCTGTACAATAGATGATTTTGTTATCAGTGCTAACCTGCACCCTAGCCTGAGTTCAAATCATCCTCAGACTTATTAGACAAAAGCAAAGCATCCTACTTTAGGAGATGTGCACCAGCCCACTCAGCTCTTCCAAATTGTCCAGTAAATGGCAGATAGAGTTGAGCAAAAACTAAGATGCTCCTGGTCCTTA